CTCGCTTCAATTTACAGCTCACAGCATTACAGTATTACATTACAGCGGAACTGCTGTGCCACTGCTTATCGGTAACGTATATTTCTTAGTATACTACATACGAGTATATTATCKATATAATTTGGCCACAAACGACAGCAATGGGTAGTCAAACTGCTAACTCAAAAGTATTGAGCCTGATGACATACCGTATTCATTTATCCAAAATCTCCCACCAAATAGAAAAACACAATTACTAAAAATATACAACTTTATCTAAAACAACGGTGTATTCCGAGACCAGTTGCGAAATGCTATTGTTATACCTATTCCAAAACCTAAAAAATAATAAATTTGACATAGCTAATTTTCGACCTAACTCACTCATAAACACAATGGGAAAAATAATGGAAAAAATGGTTAATAAACGTCTTATTTGGCATTTAGATATATATATATATATATATAATTTTTTTTTACTGAAGTACAATATGATTTCTACCGAAATCACTCCATACTAGACACTCTCTTAAAACTACAAGCCGAAATAAGAAATGCAAAATGTAACAAACAACATCTAACATCTTTGTTTGATTGGCCTAGATATAGAAAAATCATACGAAATGGCATGGCATGACAGAATCCTCAATATAATCTAAAGGGCAAATATAAATGGTAAAATGTTCCTCTTTTTGAAAAATTTTCTAAACAAYTACACAATACAGGTCAAAGCACTTTCAAAGTATCAAACATAATATAAACAACTGAAAACGATATTTCACAAGGATCAGTCATAAGTTTCACAATGTTTCTAAGAGCTATAAACGATATTTTCTGCAAAATACCAAATCCTACAAAAAAAATTATCTTCGCCTACATCTGTTACATATATTGAAATGGTAATAACATAGAAWCTACCTACACTAAAAATCTTACAATTCACATACTCGAAACTGGATTTAAATTTTCCCCTACTAAAAGTCAATATATCGTATTTAACTATAAAGCTGGATTAAATCAACAACTATACCTAAATAATCAACCAATTGCTAAATGTAAAAACATTAAAATACTTGGGAATAATTTTTTATGACAATCTCAAATGGACATCTCATCTAAAATAATTTAAAAGTTCCTGAAAAAATAAAATTAATGTAATCAAAATTTAGTATTATCACATATGGGAAGCAAATCAAAAGCCACTTCTAAGTATATACAATTTGTTAATCTTATCCAAAATAAAATATGGCCCACTTATATACAACACATACAAACCTAACCTAAGATACTGGACCCAATTCTCAACGAAGGAATTTGTCTGGCAATTGGAACCTTTAGGACAAGTCCAATCAACAGCATTCTCAACTACGCTAGCGAATTACCCCTTTGACTCCAAAGAGACTAAGACACACTAACATACATTATAAAAAGGAAAAGCAAAACCAACTACATAGGATACAAAAACATTTTCAATAATCATACTGCATTTCTGACAAACGTGGAACACAAAAAAAACCCTCGGTACAAGATTTATTCATCAACTTACAATAATCAATGGATGCACACGTCTCAGTTGTAAATAGAATTTCGTTTCAAGTTTCTCCTATCTAGAAATGGGAATTTAAAACTTAATTCAAAACTTCTCAACTTCAATAAAAATGAAACAAATCATGTCATAATTTATTTTCTGTTCATTCAGTTCAAAAACACAATCCAACAATCGTTCCCTAATCGCATCAAAGTATGCATTTAAATCTGAAGATGGTGTAGGCTTTGCAGTAGTTKATACAATCATCCAATACAAACTCCCGAAAATAACCAGCATACGAGTATATTCAGCTGAAAACGAGGCTATTTTTGAAAGAGTATTCTCGTAAATACTTAAGAAACGAACGATATACTAATAATCAGCGACTCCCTTAACTCCTTACTAGCACTTAAAAACACACCCTCAAAAAAAGAAATAACCTCAAATATTTAAGCATCCTTAATCTAAAAAAAAACATTGAATTCATGTGGATCCCATCTCACATTGGTATTGCAGGAAATGAAACAACAGGTAAATATGCCAACTAAGCAACAAAAACCATTCCTAACCCTACAATAACCAACATGCCTACAATTGACATTAAAAACTTTATCAAACAAAGAATCCTTTCATCTTGAAAAAATTACTGGAACTCAAATACTCAATACCATCGTCTAATAAACTAAGAAATATTTAAAAAAACAATTAAAAAAATGGAATACACCCTCTAATTTTAACCACCGYCAAGACATCGCAATCACCTGCACTAGAATCGGACACACTTCCTTATCCACTCATATCTAATTAGTAAAGATCCCCAATCAATATGCGAAATTTGCAACACTTCATTAACTATCAAACACATAGTAGAGGAGTGCTCTCAATATTCTACAACTCACACCGACCTCAATTTGGCACCTACCATAGCAGAAGTGCTTTGCAAAGTCAAACTCCAAAAATAATAGAATTTTTAGTACAACTAACATAATTAAAAAATTGTAACCTCAAAACTTGTATATATATATATATATATATAAAGTAACACTAATCTTAAGAAAAACACCATGTAAAAATTAATGTCAGGATAATAAACTAAGTTGTTGAAGCCTTATTTTTTTTGAAAAAAAATCTAATCATTAATATTAGATTGAAATCCATAGAGTGAATTATCAAGTTTTTTTAAACTAAAATATTAATTCATTTTTGTGGACATGATGATTTAAAAATTATTATTATTTATGAGTTATAACACTAGATATTATTCTTAATCAGTATACATATTGAACACAATTTCTTAATATTTTTTGTGTTTCAATACTTAACATGCTTTATATCTTTAACTTTAATATTAAGTTAATGAAATGAATATATTATTAATATATCATTAATAGATTATGTTTTTTCTAATAAAATTAATTTTGAGGATCTAGTAATTTAAGAAATATTACTTCCTCTATAACATTGGGCATTCCCACCTAGTAAAAATAATTGAGCATGTTTTTCCAATATTATTTGTTTGTGTTGTTTAAACAACATGTTATATTTTTAAATGTTTTATATTAAGTGCATGAATTTAATACATAATTGTTGTATATGAAATTTCACTGAATAGCAGCTTATTAAAGTATACGATTGAAACATTTTTTCACACTTGATTACTTTCAGAACTATGATACTTAACTTAATAATTTAGGTATTAAATTGTTATGAATAATCTTATAATACTAGTATGTTTAGGTTTTAAATTATTGTATTTGGTTTGTGTAAAAAATCAAGCATAATGGATTATTAATGGAGAGTTTATACAAAATAGTTTAAAACCTAAACATACTAGTATTATAAGATTATTAATGGAGAGTTTATACAAAATAGTTTAAGTTAGAAACTGGTCTACTATTCACTAATATTTGAAACACATTTGAACGACATTCTGATGTATAGGTATGAATTCATTATGTCATACAAAACGGCTGTTTGATTAATTGAAAAAAATATTTTTTTCCGATATAAATATGACCTTTAATTTGTCATTTAAACGAAATGCATAAAATAACGATACCTATTATTTACAAATATGTGACAATTATAAAGTCCCATACGTCACAATGAATTATGCTGATAATTCTCTTATACAAATTATTAATTATTTACCAAACTTCTGTCTAATAAAATAAAAATGACGAAAATGAACTGTAACAAAACAATTTAATTTGACATGTAGGTACGAGAAAGATTTAAAATATTCATTAGTGGCTTAGCGTGGCATAGTTGCTGTGTACACTAATGAAACGCCCGCTGCCACTTGTTTCCAGATGGGTGACCACCCGTCTTAAGACCCRAGTTCTTAATGGCGAGAAACTTTATTACACATACACATGTTCCATAACAACTATATCATCCCTCACATAATTTAAAAAAATATTCTAAAAATAACCACCCAATAGCCTATGTTGCCGTGGGTTAATGAATAATATAAATAAATAAAAAAATGTATATACTTGTTGATATAATATTGTATAATGTGAAATATTAATATTATTTATATTATATTATTGTACTTTCACATAAGAGATCTATTTATTTCATGAACATAATATAGTATGCCTTGCAATAGTACTATGTATGTATATTATTATACATTGTATTTTGACATTGTTTTGTTCCTGGATATAACATAGTACTATTAATGGTTGGTTAATGGTATTTTCATCACTCTTATCTCTTTAAAAAAGTTTATGACCGAGGAAAATTCAGTACATAAAATAATGTTAATTATTGTTTATAGGTTGAAAATTATGTGAAATGAAAAAAAAAGTGTAAATGCTACCTAAATTATGATTTTATATTTTATGTAGCTATTTATATACATTTTTGCTTGCTGTTTTAGCCTTAAAAGCTTCACGAAGGTTATACTTTATATATTATATAAGGTTCACTACATAATTTTTGTAGTCCACAGTGATATGTTTTTAAATATTTTAGAAGAACATTTTGCGATTGTAAGTTTTTAAACTTGTAAGCCCAAAACACATTTGAAAACTATGATTAGAGATATTTTATATCCTAATGGCCTCTCCATCTGTGGCTGAATAGTGATGTAATTATTCTAAAGAGGTACACTTAAAGTGAGTACTTATTTAATAGTTAAGCACAGTTAACAACACTAATACGTGAACATGGGTTCAGAGACATATATAAACTATAATATTCTAAAATAAAMATTTATGAGCTTGTAATTATTTAAACAATTATACAATACCATTCAATGCGAAGAATGAATTTTTTGTTAATTGAAAATAAAAATTTTAATATAATGCATAAAATATCAAAAGATAATTTGTTTTATCAATAGAAAACTCATGTTTATTTTGCATATACCTACATAACTGCCAATTGACGTTGTAAGATTAAATAAACAATCATGTTTATACATATAAAATATTACAATATACTACTAATGCATATATATGCTAAATAAATAATAGATACATACCAATGAATTCGAGACCACTAAGTTTCCAGGTTCCAGTTTTTGTTACCAATATACTGCTCGGACAAACATTATGGTGGTGGACTTGAGGTGATAAGAAATCAAGGGCTTCAGCAATCTGAAAATCGTTTGATTACAATTGTATTTATACATGGAAAATAATTTAAATTCTTGATACTAGTTGGATATTATATAACGAYGAAATAATATATTATATATTTTTTTGGGCTATAATAGTTAATAAGAAATTTCAGTTTCTATAATAATCAAAGTAATTTTATTTATTTGTGTTCGATGAACCTCTTCTCACTGTAGAAAAGTATAAAATCACAAATTTGTATAGAGTAATGGATTCATTCTTAATTTTACAGTTTTTGAAAATTCTTTTAGAATATCATATAGAAAAATAGCAACAAATTTATTTTTATTTTTATTGATCTTTTGACAAACTCGGCAGCAGGGGCATTTAGTTACAAATTTTAATTATTTACAATTTTCATATAATTTACATTATATGTTACATGATTTACAATTACAATTATATTTTTTCAAAAGCTTAGTAAGTTTTAAAAAAGTTTAGATTTTCTTATTTAGATTCGGATTTAGTCCGAGAATTTCATCAAATCGACATCTGTTTGCCCCTGTTAGACAGATGAAATTCTGTAATGACRTGTTTCACTGTAATCTGTGTGAGTTTTTATTGCAAGCTTCACAGATAGGAGGTTCATCTTTTGACATAAGGAATGTTTGAGTTAGTCTGGTGAGTGCAATTCTTAGAAGATTTATTGTAATTTCCTCTTTTCGGTTTCAGTTAAAACTATTCATATTTCAGTGTACTGTTTTCATTAATTTTTGATTTTTTTATGTTTTTATATAGCTCTTTCTAAAATAAGGTTTATTATTGAGTATGTTTTTATCGTGTGTTATATCAAGTAATGAATTAAAGAATCTAGTGAGTCTGATTTTTATGCTTAAGAACTTGATCTTAGGCCCGATTGAGTCCAGTATGTCAATAATTTTCATTGGTGTTAGGTTAAATGATTTTAGAACATTTTAAGTGTCCTCTACGCCTGTCGTTAGCGAARCCAGCTTTTATAAAAGTAATCAGTGATGGTATTTTAATTGACAAATTAGCAATAGCGTTTGATATTTTTAAGGTATAAACGGCTGTACTATGGTTAATATTATTCATTTGGSAGGATTTATTAGATGGTGAAATGTTATATTTGAGTTATTTTATGACAATGAATGACTGTTGAGTATTGTTCTATGTATTTTTATTTGCGAAGTAGATGCAAAGTCTATTATCGGATATTCGAGAGGCGAATCTTATATTGATTGCCGAAGTCAATTRGCTAAATGCTTTAATATATTGGTTACGCACGTACTGAATTTTTATTTTATAATAATGTTATTAAGATATTTGTTTAGATTTAATTTATAATTTTTGATTTTATCTTTTATTAGGTATCAGACTAATAAATATATTCACAACATTAAAGAAATAATCGTTTTTTTTTTTGTAACTTACTGTTCAATGTTTAAATTATAAAATTGTAAAAACATCTTAATTAAACAAATTTTGGTGAACTAAAATCTACTTAAAAAAGGTATTTCAGTTGCRATAATATATTATTTCTTTTATTTAAAATTGAAATTAATAATACATTTAATTTCACAGACGTAAAAACAGAAATAGTAGAATATTTACTTGATCATATTTTTTAGAAGTTTTATGTATAAAYTATTAATTCTTGAATAAGCATTGATTAATGATATTTATTTTGATTATATTTGTTAACCTTTTTTATAATTAGTTTTTTTAGGAATCTATTTACAATGACTTACTCATTTAAATAATAATTAAAATAAGTAATTTAAGTCCGGGGTAGGTACTTTTGTGTTTGCATTCAGAAGTAAATAAATCTGTAAGTAATATTTCTTATTATTATATACCATAATTATACTACAAAAGGGTTTCCAAAAATAGATTATGAGTTTAAGAAAATATTATATAAGCACTTAATTTATATACATAACTTATGCTGTTACTCGTATAATAAAGCACGAAAATCTGAAAATACTAACTGCATAATAATTACAAACATTTACTAGAAATTTTTCAATTAATAACATTTAACTTATATGTACAGTACTTATAAAATTAAACAAATTTTTTTAACTTTTTTTTGCTAGAAAAGTATTAAACTTTTAAACCAATGAATTCATTTTTTTTTTGCTGTGCTCTTTTCTGTATATTCAACACTAAAATTTAACCAAACAAACAAGTTAAAACATTTTGATACACGTTCTGTATTTTATTTTTATTTTATCAAACTCCGGTCTGTGGTGGATACTATATTACTAACATCATCTTTTTAGATAAATATTTTCTTAATTTCCACTTAAAGATACATTATAGTTTTCAAAATGCTGAAAGTTGTATCGTTACTAATATTTTCATAAATATGARAAATAATTTTTGTTCTTTGTTTTGATGTTTTAGAAATATACGATTTCTGGCAAAAACAAAGAAGTTACTTCTAAAGCGAATGATTTATTTTTGTAATGGAAAAAATCTGATTTTAGAAGCTTAAAAGTTTTCAATATTTTTTTGTAATACTCTCAGGCTTAATAATTTTAAAATAGATTAAATAGATACATAATATCGTTGCACCAAAATAAAAATTATAATAACTTTATACATTTAGCATTCAATTATTTTTATAACGTAATATTAATACCTAATGCAATACACGTCGTAATCAATTATCAAAAATCTATATCCTTGGTTTAATCAAAATAAGTTTAATACATATTTTTTTGCGTTTGAACCATCATCATATTTACTACATTATTGAGTAATAAAAACAAAAATAAAACTTAAATATCTGAAAAAATATTATTTTTCTATTAAAAATAAAGCTCTGAATATAAATAATTACATTATATTAGTSACAGTAAAAAAATCATTCAGTCAAGGGGAATTAAGAATTTCTTTTTTATATGAAAAATATAAATTTTTTTAAATCTTTTAAAATAAAAATTACCTACGTAATATATAAGTCAAATGTTGGCCATTTGTTAAAATATGATATCTATTACTAGTGACCACGGTTATCTACTCAAAGTTTAGATAACCGTGCTAGTGACTAATGCAGTTTTTTAACTTAATTAATCATAACTTCATTTTATATGATGTTATAATTTCCAGGACCATTATAAACCAAGTTATACTCGACTAACATTTTTTTTTCTTCAAATATTTCGATTGATGATATTTTATATCAATATCAAAGTATACAGTGATTGATGCTTAAGTATTATATTGAACAAATTTAAAATTATTTGTTCAAACACTACTTTCTAAAAAGGATTTACAGTAAAAGAAAAAGCTTTGTAAGACCTAACGAAAAGAATTCGTTTTACCAAAAAAAAAAATCATCGCAGAAGGAGATAAAGATAAATCAGAAACACTTTGAATCTAATACGATAACTATTGACGTTTCTTATATCTTTCAGTATTCGTGATAGAAACTAGAAAACGTCACGTTATAAGAATAAAGAAAACATTTTGCGTATGTAATAGCTTAAGATTACCAAAGTTATGTTTAGGTTGCGTATTCCCTAAGGGCCAAACTTGTTGAGCTATCAATTTAAATTACAATATCTAGAAAAGCAAGCTTTTGTCGTTTGTCAATATAGTTTAGAAGTGAATTTAATGAGCATAATCTGTGATACGTGGGTAAACACGATATTATTTACTGCACTAATACCAAATACAAATACATAAAGTTTAATATATTATGATAATCGGTGTTCTATTTTATTTATAAATATATATTTATGACAAGTTATTAAAATATTAAATTTTTCATTWAAAAAATATTGTTCATAATATGTAAAATCAGAAGTCGAGCGAAAATGAAAAAATAAAACATAGTATACAACAGTTAGGAAATCTAAATTTATAATCTTTACATTATACTTGTACGTCTAACACAAACATTTTAATGTTAAATGACTAGAAGGCCCTGCCGCTTGTTTGCTGCGCTTGCTAACCTCCACCAACCGTTATCAAGTAACCACACTCTGAACATCAAAAGAAGGGAAAGCAAATARATTATTATAAACTTTGATGTTTTGCCTGTATTGATTTCGCCATCAACGTGATACAGTAAATCTCTCAAATCTTGCGAATACGCATTGTGTTCAAAGAGTTTAACTTTTCCATGATGAAAACGAGTGTTTGTAGATCTACTCTTTAAATTTTTAAAAGGGAGAGCACTACAATATTGATATTTTTCTGTCATATCACTGATATATTAATATTCAGGCTCATCTGTTTGCTCATTCTCTAATTTTTATCTCTTTGATTTCATGTAGAAATRCTTGTCTCGTTTTCTTTTCGCTTATTTTTTATTATATTTTTAATTTTGTTCTTTTTTTTATATAATGCGTGTGCATTACATTTGATATCTGAAGCCCTTTTTACCCAACTTAAAATAAAAATTTTAATGGAACTCTAATACTGGTATTTGGTTGTCTTGGTAATTTTTTGACGAAATTATTTTTAAAAACTTTGTGTTTCAAGACATAAGGGATACTGCTGCAGACAACAGTGAATAAGACATATATAAACACAAAGTTTATGTAATGATATTTTTTTAACGATTTATGACGTACCGACGTACCATTATAAATTATAAAAACATTTTTTTAATGATATTTTGAATAATTTAGTAAAAATATTCTGTTTAACTATTACTATGAAAATTATTTACATCAAATTCCGTATTTAACCATATAAATATTTTTTTTATTATCATTGATAATAATTGCCTTGGAGACCAGTGGCTACAAAAATGTTTATATAATTATTACATTAAGAAATACATTTTTACATATTGGACTGTTGGGATATATTTTCTTTTTAAATTTTTATTTAAGGATTGGAACGAAAATACTTGTATATTTTCCAAGCTTCGTTCCTCTTAAAATAATAAATACCTCATATATACAAGCGAATACAAATACAATATATTATAATACAATAATTATAAACAAATAAATTTTGCCTCAGAAACTGTCTGATAATTCATAAGTCTCTAGATCTTT